TCTCTACATGTAATCGAACTCCCAAATCATGTTTTAGTTAGTAGACCCAAACCTATTCTTTTAGAGACTTTTAGTTAAGCTTAGGAGTTCCTTAAGATAATAGATTCTTTAGATGGTCAATCACCCTTAGTTAAAAAAGATTGATGGTAACTCCATCCATTTTGTTAAGTCTAGTTATAGATTTATGGATCTATATGTTATGGTAATTATAATTTTTTATTCAAATTTTGAAAAATTGTATAAATTGATATAAAAATAAAAAATGTATAATTTATATTTTAAAATTTTAAATAATATATATTTTAATTCAAATTCTAATATTATTAATTTAACTTGTCTATAATATCTAACAAGTATAATTTTATTATACACATATTATTTATTGAATAAAAATATTAAATATTTTTTAAAAATCATTATATGAGTGTCACAAGAAAAAAAATTAATCGATTTTAAATGATTTTTACAATTTAAGTAGAAATATATATTTTTAATTTATATTAAAATGTTTATAATAAGTGTAATGAACATATACTTAATAATATTAGTTAAACACTGAATATATAAATTGATATATTTAGTGAAATTAGAATTTAAGTTAATATGATATACAATTTAAAAGTTCAGTATGTAAATAATATATTATTAAATTATACATTTTATTTCTTTATATATTAATTTGTATATATTTTAAAATTTAAATACTAAAAATTAATTTAATTCTTTCTGATATCAAGAATTTAAGAGCCTCAGCATCTGCTCTCTCATTTGCCACCTTTTTTTTTTTTTTCGTTTCTTTCTCTTTCTTTGTGTTTGGTCAATATGGTGTGAAATTCAACGCCAATTAAATTGTCTACCCATCCTGCAACTTAATCATCTGAAGCACCAACGGCCCATTAATTGATATGGAAAAAGAGCTACAAATGAAAATATATTTAATTTTCTTGGCAGTCCAATGCTCGGTTGTTCTTAAATAATTAAATTAAGAATTGACTTGCTGTGCGTATATTCGGTTCTGGTCTTTTGAAGACTATACTCCTAAGTCATAAACCATACAGTCACCCAATTGTAAAGTGAATTATATTCTAATTCGAGGCTTAAACCAGATGAAATGTTTGATAATTTAAAATGTTATAATGTTATGTGTCCTACATTGTTAAGAAAAATTTTTATATCATAAGAGAGACTTTTTTTTTTTTTAATGTATTTTTAGTACATAAGCCGACTGTCAAAGTGGGATTAATTTTTGGGCTTGTTAGGATTTGTTGTTGTGGTTAAAGAATATTATTAAAAGTTAAAGATATGTAATTGAGTACATAAGAAATTTTTTAAAAATTTTTATTAATTTTTAAAATATTAATAATTTAATATTATTCATTCATATTTTGAATAAGCATATTTAAACAAAAATAATTAATTTTAAATATTCAATTTAAATTGTGATTATTCAAAATGGTGATAACCAATTGAATCTAATTAAAGTTGTGCGTATCTAAATGATCAATATATATATATATATATATACATATATACATATTTTTTTACTTTTATATTTTAATAATTGATTCATTCAACTACTTTTAAAATGCAATCTCTTTTCCTATGACCTTATATTTAGACTATAACCTCTTTTATTTTTCCTTTTTTTTTTAAAAAGAAACCCAACTGCTATACTTAGTGGTCTACTTAATCCAATATAATGTGATCAAAGCATTGCTAATCATCCACGATTACTCATGCTAAACGTTGATGGAAAAAGAATTATGTTTTGATTAAAAATATGTACAAAATGAATATCTAACTACCTGATTATATACTTTTTTGCAACTTTGTACAATTTGTATAAATTTTAAACTGGTTAATATCATCCACATAAGTCATTGTGCTTGATTTAATATTCATAAGCTGGTCGACTCAACTTGTTATTTGGAAGTGATCAAATTGTTCAAAGGTTAGTTATAAAGTTATGATACAATAAGAATCCTACAATTAAAAAATCCAAAAAATGTAAAGCTTGATGTCTTGTAGCAATTGTAGCTTTATAAAGTAGGGTCATCTACTCATCTTTGTGGAGCGGTACGTTTCTAGGAATGTCCTACATTTCTAATCACAAAGTTCCTTGGACAATTCATAATATAGCCATGTGACAACTAATACAATTTAATTATTTTTAAGACTATTATATATTGTTTAACAAGTCAAAAAATGAAAAATAGAAAAGAAGTGCTTTCATATACATTAAAAGTTATTAGTAAAGTAGTGGATTTTCAATTTCAGAGATCATGATCTAATTTCTGACAACTTTAAATATATATTGATGAAATTTTCCTAATTCAAGGATTAGGTTGAATATATATATATATATATATATAAAATACATTTTAAGTGAATGGTAATGTATTGAAGCATTTCACAATTAACTAAGAAAAAAAATTTAATACATGAGGTCATTTCTTCCTTTTGATATAGAAAAAGAACCTCTTTCATTTTATAAAGTAAAAAGACTGTTAAGATTTCATCTCACAAATTTAGGTAGACAGGATTATATACGCAATAGCAAATTAAATTACTATCATGCTACAATTATATATATATATATAAAAAAAAATCAATTCCTTGTAATTAATTAATTAATTAATTACAGTTCATCTGGGTATTTCAGCTTCAGGACAACATATAAGAAACAGACTGAAAATCAAATAATATGGCGCCCTAGCCCTGATGTCCTCTCTTGAAGCACTAATTGTTTAAAGTCATAAATTAAAATGTCTGTTCAGATAAATTTGTCTGATATGGAAGCTTAACCACCCTTAGATCTTTCACAAACACACTTTATTAAATTTTAAAAAGGGGATCAACCGATTGGTATTTTTCAGTATGAAAACCCTTAAAAATAACAACTCTAGCAAGGAAAAAAGCTGTGAACCGTTTGGTGTCTACTGATTTTCAAACTCACTGCAAATTCACCCAACACGCAAGTGAGAAAGGTGTTCTTATTGGGATCTACGTTGACAAATTATACTTTCATTGTACACAAAGACAACCTAGGTTAATAATTTTGGTAACTCAATTCTTTCTAATTTTAACTCAAATTGATTGCATACGGGTTGATGATTTAATTTCTGTCAACCCAAATTTTGGGGCTGGGATTTTGGTTTTAGAGTTAAATTTCATTTGACTCACTCAACCAATCTTATCAAGAAAATTGCTACAAGTGGAAAGCACAATTTTAATTGGTGATCATTATAGATGGAAGTTTAACTTATAATTTAATTGATTTATATAATAATACTTAAGAGACGAAATTCAATATATTAATGATTATTGAAAATACATATAAATATATTTATGGTTTAATGCTTGTAATTTGTTTTTATTTTCGGACTATGATTTTTTTTAAAAGAAAAAAACATATTGAATGAGTTTAACAATGATTTTAATTTGAAATATTTTTTGAAAATAATTTTAATACGATATTTTAACTTCAATTATTTGTAAACATAATCAATTATTTGTTTTTCTTCTAAATTAAAAGAAAAAAAAAATCAAAATTAGGGTATGATGAAGCGAAACAAAATTATAGATACAAATTGTTATACCTTGACCGCCATATGTTTTATTTTGACCGTCATTAACTACCACATCAGTAACAATTTTGATTACCAACTCTGCAATCTCAACATTTGACAAGTTAATATGCCACATCATCATCTATAAGGTATAAAAGGTAAAATCAGCAGGTGAGATATTCTCAACTCCCATTCCCATACTCTGTGTTTCCTTCAAACTTACCGGCTCCTCTCTCCCCCTCCAGCTTTGAGCATTAAAGCGTGTCTTTGAATATTATCTTTGACGCCTTCTAATTTTTCTCTTTGTGACAGGCCACGTCAGCTGTCCAATCCAACTTCCAGCAAACTCTTCAATCATTTGACCGGAAAGTACATCAAGATAGCTGAACTAGCTTGCAATTACAAACGTAATAATGAAGTCTTTTTCTGCGGGCATGAATTTTGTTCTAGGATAGCCAATAGCATCGAATTGAAGTTAAAACTACCCCTTGTCTTTCACTTACAATGTATTCCGCTTCTTGATTTAATGGAAAAGAAGTTTTAAAAAAGATATTAAAATTTAAGCTCGAACCAGATCACCTTTCTCCCTTTATATGTAATAAGACATGCTCTTTTTTGAACCAAAAAAAAAAAAAATGGAAAACAACATGATAGCATCCTTCGAGGAACATTCCCAGGTATTAATTCTTAGCATATAAAACATATTTATTTACATTAAATTCACCCTTTAATAAGTGAAAGTAACCTAAAAATGAAGAATTTGACTGTTTCTTTGGGGTTAAAGGTTAAGAAAAACCTGTTTATAATTAAAAAAGGGTTAAGAAGACCTGATAAAAGTTTCACTTTCGTTCATGTATTTAAACTAATTTTTTAATAGTCTTGACTTTTTTTATTGGATACTGTTAAGATTTAAAATCTGATTACTACACTATGCATTCTGCATTTTATCCACGTACCACATTTATTTCTTTGTTCTGTAGCATAATTTTTAACAAGCAAAACCAAAAAAACACATTGAAAATCTTCCAAAATTTTGTTTTGCAGTTTTTTATTTAGGGAATTTTGAAGCAGTGAAGAACACTGATATTCTCAGCTCCATGGGAGAGATCAGTACTATATATATATATATATATTTTTTTTTTTTGAACATTTTTTTTAAAAAACTGCCCACATGATTGTATTTTGAGCTTGCCCCATTTCCAACATAAACAACTTTTTTTTTTTGTTATATAAGGAAGATAAAATTTTAATATAAATATAAAAATTTAATTTAAAATTAAATCTTTAATATCTTCTCAAACATCGTTAACTATTAGACACATAATCAACTTTCCTCCGCATCCTTTTGTTTCCCCCTTTGCTTTTGTACATTTCAAGATAAAGACAGTTAAAAGAAGAGCAAAAAGCATTACTGAGTTTAGAGATTCCAAAAAAGGAAACACCAAAGCCTAAGAAGCTGTAGCCTGCAAAAGTCTACAACATCCAAAAACAAATGGCCTCTCTCTTTCTCTGTCCCTCTTGAATTGAGCCCACAAAGCTTGAGACTTTGTCAATTGTCATTTATCTCTTTCTCCATGTCTTCGTGAAAATTTATTAATTTTAGCAATATTAAAAGTCTTATTGTTCGAAAAGAAACAAGGGATGAAGAAGCTTACGCCCTTGCTTCTTTTCCTTGTTTCACTTGTCTCTATTCCTGAAACCATTATTGTTTTTGCCGTGCAAGACCCTCTTGCTGCCTCCGTATCCCCTGTTTCATCACCCATTTCTAGTCCTAACTCTGCTTCAATGACTGCTTTCTCTCCAGGTGTCAGTTCTTCATTTTACTCCTTTTGCTTCTGCAACTACCCATTGCCTTTTTTGGTTTCTACTCTCTCAACTAGTGGAGACAAACTGCTTGCTTTTCTCGACTGGCTAGTGAAAAACTTAGTCATTTTTGTTTGTTTCTGGTTAGACTCGAGACTCTTAGTTCAAAGGTTTTTAAAAAAGAAGTTTCAAAATTTTAAAAAAACAACCACATATATCGGTGCATTCAATGTTTTGACTGTGAACAGTATTGTTTTGCTTCATGGAAATCGATATCCCAGTTGATACACAATACTTTTTATTTTTAAAATTTGTTTTAGTGATGAAGATGTTGCCCTGTTTATCTCTCTTTTTAATTCTCAAATTACTTAATTTCTTCAGATTTCTAAAAGCTGAAAGCATTTTACTTGGAGGAAGTTTCTTTTTTCCTGCTAAAAAAGGTTGTACTTTTGACGCTATAAAGTGGTTAATGAAATAGCAGGAATTCAACTGGGAAGTGAGGAGCAGAAAAAAATGAATCCACCCAAGAAAATGTTAATAGCTATCATTCTTGCTTGCTCTTCCTTGGGTGCAATTATCTCTTCCTTGTTTTGTTTACGGATTTATTACAGGAAGAATTCACTCAAGTCCACCAAAAATGATGCTAAGAGCTCAGGTATCTTCTTTTGAGCCGATACCCAATTCAGTTTTTGTTCACAGTTTACGGAATCTTTGAGAGAAAGCATAAAAACTGATACTTTTTTTTCCTCTGTTTCCCTGCTTTTTGTGGTTCTAAATTTAAAGATGCTGAAAAAGGGGCTGGTTTGGCACCATTTTTGGGTAAATTCAAGTCTATGAGGACGGTTTCCAAGGAGGGTTCTGCTTCGTTTATGGATTATAAGATACTTGAAAAAGCTACAAACAAGTTTCATCAAGGTAATATTTTGGGTGAGGGTGGATTTGGATGTGTTTACAAGGCTAAATTCGATGATGGTTCTTATGCTGCCGTTAAGAAATTGGACTGTGCAAACCAGGATACGGAAAAAGAATTTGAGGTATTATTTCTGCAGGATTTTTTTTTATTTTTTATTTTTTAAATTTGATCAGTTCTTTTTATGTGTTTTCTAGGATTTCAATTTTTTGACGTTGAGTTATTGTATGGAATTGCAGAATGAAGTGGATTTGCTATGTAAATTTAAGCACTCGAATATAATTTCACTGTTGGGTTTTAGTAGCGACAATGACACATGGTTTATTGTGTATGAATTGATGCAAAATGGTTCTTTGGAAACTCAACTACATGGTAACAACTCTCTTTCTCCGCCTCTCATAAAGTACTTAAGAAAGGAAAGATAAACCCTCTGGTAATGAAGGAGAAAATTTATTTCTGTTTTTTGTTTTTAATAATACCTTAGGACCTTCTCTTGGATCGTCATTAACTTGGCATAGGCGGATGAAAATTGCTTTGGATACAGCAAGGTGAGGTTTTGTTTGATTTTTTACCTATTGCTCTTGGTTAATGAATAGTATTAGATAAATCTCCGTTGTTGACCAGAGGATTAGAATATCTGCATGAGCACTGCAGTCCACAAGTCATCCATAGAGATCTGAAATCATCTAATATACTTTTGGATTCCGACTTCAATGCAAAGGTAATAATTATAATGTAAATTGTTAGACCTCTTGCTTTTTGTTAGTATTAAAACTTTTTGTGTTTGTACTATTGGTGCTGGACATTATTGATAAATCTATTGAAACTCACGTTTTTCCATTTTGCCTGGAAACAGCTTTCAGATTTTGGTCTTTCTGTGACTAATGCAGCCCAAAGCAACAATAATTTGAAGCTTTCGGGTACTTTGGGTTATGTAGCTCCTGAATATCTATTAGATGGTATGTACACAAAATCAGCTATAATTGCACAATTAATTCTGATAGGTTGTTATTCATATTGTCATTCTATAGTTTCTCTTCCCTCTTTGGGAGTTAATAAAAAAGTTGTTAAGGATCCTAGAGACTTCAATTATGTTTTCACATGTTTTGATCTCAATAAATACATGGTATAGATTTGTCACTCTTCGCGCATATGTGCTGCCACAAGAAGGCCTCTGAACTAATTATGCTGTTCTCTTTTATTCTAATGTTGACTTCACATGTGTCAACATTTTGGTAGTCATCCTAACAGATAGACGAGGTCCAAAGTACAAATTATATGTGATGTTTTGCAATTTTTCTGAAATGGGGCTTGGCAATGGCATATTAGAAACATTGGTTTAACTTTTGATGTGAATATAAATAGTTTTAATCTGCTTGAAATTTATAATTCCTCATAAAGAAGCCTAAATGTATTTTCTGCTTTTCTAGGTAGGTTAACAGATAAGACTGATGTCTATGCGTTTGGTGTTGTGCTGCTGGAACTTCTATTGGGAAGAAAGCCTGTAGAAAAACTGGCAACAGCTCAGTGCCAATCTATTGTCACATGGGTATGCCTTGATCTTATGTAATAGTTCTTGTAAAAAAAAAAAAAAAGAAGGATAGAATGTTTGAAAATCTAATGCCATAGCTATTTATTAATGCAGGCCATGCCACAGCTTACTGACAGATCTAAACTCCTAGACATTGTGGATCCTGTGATAAGAAATACCATGGATCTGAAGCACTTATACCAGGTTGGTAAGCTTCTACTGACAAAAGCACTTGGATTGTCATTACTCACTTGGTTGGCAACTTGATTTGATCCTAAATCCAAATTGGCTTACACTGAGCCTACCGGTCTTTGTTTTTGCGAGGTCCAAGGAAAAATTCAATTCATTTTCTTTTAGATTTTTATCTACACTTTATGTCACATAAGGCTCAGGGGTTAGGTTACGTAGGAATGAGTGAGCTGAGAACCCATTTATTCACTTTTGGAAAATGATTTGGTTTGTTTTTTCATAATTTAACTATATTTTCGCTGTAAAATGAAGGTTCTGAGGATGAAACCACCAAGAAATATCAAGATTATCCATTGTTCTCTTTAGGCTTGATTATGAATGTCTTTAGTCTGAATTATTTCCCTCCAATCTGAAGAGGAGGAGGAAGTAGCTTTCTGGCACTAGCATTGTAGGTTTGCATGCTTAGACTAATTTTTTTGCTTTGATAAATTGCAAAGTGGAATTGTGATATGCAGGTTGCTGCTGTTGCTGTGCTATGTGTGCAACCCGAACCAAGTTATCGTCCATTGATAACTGATGTTCTCCACTCGCTTATCCCTCTTGTTCCCATGGAGCTTGGAGGCACTCTAAGAGTAGCACAACCTGCAGTGCCGGCATGACTCCAAATCAAGATAATATTTACGATGCTGCTATGTGATTGTGGGTTTTGCATCAATTAAATCGTAGATACTCGTCAATTCTGTTACAGGAAAAGTAGTTGTTCCATCCATTGACTTTAAAAAATGTACAGAAATGTTCTGTTTATATCACAAGGGATTCTCTATATTTGAGGAGAGAATCATACGGTAACAGATATGCTGTCATAATCGTATCTTAATTTCAGATATTACTTTAATCACGGTATCATGATCTTTAATATTATGTTTGACTATATAATTACATTAACACTTCCTTTCAATTTTAAGGTGGTATTATAGATGCCAGCTTTAATTTGTTAAGTAAGCCTCGAAAGCAGTTAGAAAAATGTGTTTTGACAAAAATATCAACAGTTTTATTTAAAGAGACACAAAGTCTGAAGAACAGTAGTCTCTTATGCAGCATGATGGTGTACAAGATGACATTCAATCTAAATGTGTTTGGTGCATTCATGAATTGTGCCATTATCACAGCCAAGTCTGGTGGTGGAAGATGGTGTGATACTCGTATCTTCCAGTGAACGTCAAAGCCAAAGTCATTTTAAAGTGGCATTAATAAGAGCACAATATTCTCTTATTTAAGTGCTAGATGAAGCAACTACAATTTATTTCTTTCTTTCTCTATAAAAGAAACAATAGTCCTGGATAGGTCCCTAGCTTAGTCGGCATTGAAATACCCAAATAGAACTAAGCAGGTGACAAGAAAATCGAAGTCCATGAAATATTGCCCAATAATATGCAAAGATTTTATGATAATTCATATCTTTGGAGATGAAGGTTGAGCTGGAATAGAAGATTTCCGATTCTTCATATCATTTGTAAATTGCACTGTGTTTGCTTTTTGTACAGTATTTTCAGATTTACTAGTTCATTACAGTTACCATTTGGACAAAACTTGAATTCATATCTGGGACGTAATGAGAAATAACTTTTGCCTTCGTTCTATTTTCCAAATCGATTTGCTTATATGCTTGCATCACCCCTAATTTTATTGTTTTACTTGTCCATGTCAGCATCCAATCATGTTAATGTTGAGATTTTTACTTCTTTTAATGTTAATGCAGGTAAAACGCAATTGGGATAAATAAAAAATTATTCATTTGTGATAATCTCCATTAAAATTATCATATGAAAAAATTTATGCAGCAAAAGTAAAATATTGAGAACTCTATAAAAAATAATTTTATGTATTATGAACCACTTACACCAGGTTGGTAAACAGTAAATTATAAAATTTTGGTTTGAAATTCACCTGGATTGAACCAACCAAGCTAGCCTTGGGTTGGGTATGTATCAATGTATGGATGTCTTTTTGCTCTACTTGTCAACTAATCCGAAGAAGAAAGAGTGCACTGGTGTTGCACTTTGGCAGTCATAAAATTGCTTTATGCTAAATATGCTGACCAGGGGATTTCTGATACCTGCAGCTTGCTGCTGTAGATTACCTATGTTTTACACTCTTATCCCTCTTGCTCCCATCGGACATCTACAGTTTAGCAGCACTTCTTCAGAACTAGTTTTTGTTTCTTAGTTATTTGCACAGTTTTTTTTTTTTTTTCCAATTCATAACTTTGGGTGAAGAGTGGTTGGTTGGAGGATTTTTTTTTTTTTTTTTGGGACTGTTTTATAAGGTTTGTACTTCTGTATACTGCGCTGCATTTTTGAAATGCTGTGTGCTGCACTTCCAATTAATTTATAAGCTAAACAATCTTTTGTTCTCTCACAAGAAATCAAACCACATTAATCCAAGCTAAAAATAAACCCAAAAAAAAAAAAAAGGATTAAATGAGAAAACAAGTCCATTTCATTAAGAAAATGAGTGCTTCATTTTGAGCTCAGTAATATGAATAGAAATTATGCCTATAAAAAAGAAACAAAGAAAAGACACCGACAATTTTCAATTTTATATAAGATTGTTTTTATGGGAGGATAATCAATTATCAAGGCAGCAAATTGCCTAAATCAAAACGCTAGATTTAAATGTTCTTAACTTGTTAACACACATTATTACATCTTTATCATAAAATCACTTAAATTACTCATGGTTTGCATATAACTCAACAAAATTTTCCAGCTACCATAATCTCAGCTCAGTTTTCCATTAATTTTAACTGACATTGTAGCATGAATCAACGATGGCATCCGCAAGGTATTCACACTTGGCCAATGATAATCCTGCTAGGGATATCCTTCCATCCTTGGTCATATAGACATGCCACTTGTTTGTCATATTATCACACTGTTAAGAAAAACAAAAAATAAACCACAATATTATAAGTCAAAGATATTGTGACATGCATTGCTATCTTTCACTATCATATAGAGTGCAATATATGAGTACTCCAACAATTTCCAGTTATAAGCGAAATTCTAATTGAGGTCAGCATCTCTATCACCGCATAAGGATGGCTCTAGAAAGTGAACCGATCAAGTAGGGTTGGACGAAGCTTGTAAGTAAATTGAAAAAAAAAAAAAAATGGCAGGAACGGGCTATTACCTGAGCTTTGTTTAAGCCTGTGAATGAAAACATGCCTATCTGCTTAAGAACAAACGACCAATCCTTCCCAGTTTTATCTTTGGAAGAAAGACTATCAAATAATTTATGTCTCACATTCTTTATTCTCCCAGCCATCATTTCCATCTCTTCATTCCATTCCCTGAAGAGAGCTGAATCCCCAACAATATTGGCAACAATCCTAGCCCCATGAACAGGAGGATTTGAGTACATCGGTCGAGCAATCCTTTTCAGTTGGCTCTTTACCCTGAAACAAACATATAATATAAGCCAGTCCTTAAGCAATATAACAATTACTAGTCACAAGGACTGGGAACCAAAATTGAATTATGTATAAGATGTGACTGATTTGAACCAAAATTTATTTTAGCAATGGTCGAGGAACCTATGATTTGAAAGGACATACTTCTTATCGGTAGCTGGTCTGATAAAAATAATTTAATGGTGTAGCTTGCGAACAGATTCACAGATGTAAAAAGAAACATAACCATCAATTTCTTTATAAAGTAATATGAAGAGAAAAGGTCCTGATCCATCAGAAAACATGAATCCATATTAAAACTTAATAGCAGTCTTATAGCTAAAAGCCTAAGACATCAATTACAAGGACGCTGGTATCAATGACTATCTAATAATTTACTCAGTCGTGGCATGCTAAAAAGAATATTTTCCAGCATGTATCTAACATGGAAAAATTACTGAAAATAAAAGAAATTTTGCTTCGTGGTCTATTGTGCAGTTCCATGTACTTCTAGTTGTTACTTTAATTTAAGAAAAGGCTCACTAAATCACTTTTCACAACGATAAGAAAAATTGCACCTTGCAGCTGCATCTGGTGATGAGCAGACAACATTAATTGCTCCAATCCTTTCTGCATAAAGGCCAAGATTTTTACTGTATGACTGTGCTGCAATAACCTCCATACCACGGGCAACAAACATCCTCACAGATGCTGCATCAGCATCAAGGCTTCCACTTGCAAATCCCTATCACCAAAAGTAAATCAAGGAGTTTTCATTTAAATATCACCTTTGTCTAAATTCTATATAATGTTACAATTTTAGAACACCTGAAACCAAGAATTATATCCAGAACTCAGGCAACTAATACCTGATATGCAATATCAAAAAATGGAAATGGTTCTTCTCTTGGATGACATCCGCAATTATTCCCCATTGTTCAGGTGTTGGATCAATGCCAGTTGGGTTGTGAGCACAACCATGGAGAAGAATAAAAGATCCCTCAGGAGCTGCCTGCAAAATGCAATTGAAGAATAAATCCTTTAAAAAGAGATATGAAAGATAAGGAATTAGCCTATTGCACATTGACATTTATTCTAGTGAGCATTTTTAGCAAAAATATGACCTTGATGTCTGCGATCATCCCTTCAAAATCCAAGCCAACTGTTTTTGGGTCATAATATTGGTATTCAGACCATGGAACCCTGGCATCGTTGAAAATGTTCTTGTGGTTACCTGTGAGACAGTTCATTACTATAAGAATACGCAATGTTGAACAAATTTCACAACTACATTACTATAAGAACACATCATGTTGAACAAACTTCACAACCAAGTTTAAGAGGGAGACAGTACTCACCCCATGTGGGAGATGATATCAGAACTTTTGCCCCAGGAAAATATCGTTCTATAAGAGCAGCAGCCAGTCGAAGTGAACCAGTTCCTGAAAGCCCTTGAACTGTTGCAACCTAGAAAAAGTCAAATACGTAAATTAACATGAAACCAATTTCATTCTTCTCCAATTTTTCCTGAAAAACCTATTCATAGAGAGGTAGAAGAGAATTTTTTGTATGAGATAATAGCCAAAATTCTCACGTACTTGTTGTTGCTTTATAACTGGGTTGTCTGCTCTAAATAACAACTCCGCTGTCAACTTATTGAAAGCAGCTAAGCCTTCAATTGGAAGATACTGCATGGGAAATTAAACCGAAGTAAGTATCTTTAAGAAGATGACTGACCTCACGTTATGTATGCAAATTGATAAAGTTACCTCTCGGTTTTCCCCTCTCTCCAGTAGAAGTTTATCCGCCTAGAAAATTGAGAGTTCCCAAAAGAAAATTAATTTCAACTCAATTTAATTGTCAAAGCAACAAATACTCAGTCTTGGCAGCAAGAAACAAAGCAAATTATAAGCTATGTCAAGGGAGAACTTAGAGCAGAACATCAATCATGAAATTTGAATCAACTGATTTAGGAAAGAATCCTAACCTTTTTAACCACATTAAGCACATAGGGCTGTAGCTCTTCAGTTCGATAGGCCCCAACTCCAAGGTTGAGCTTCAACTCATGGTTGTCTGCCTTGAAAGCTTCAGAAACCCCAAGAATTGGATCAGGGGGAGCCATTGTTATACCCTCAAAACGAGACATATTGGAAGCGACAACCATAGATATTCGACCAAAAGACTGCAAACAACAAAATAACTCAGATATACAAGCAAAAAAAGGAAAACAAGAACTGGAGTTACTCGACACATAGATCAAGGAAAAAAGCGTTAATTACAATTACTTAACCATACAGGACACGGGGAGTTGATCTTCAATTGCGAATGGGAAGGACAATAATAAAAAAGAATAGAAAAAAAGTACCTTCGTTTTGATGAAGGGATTGGTTTTCTCCTCGTCGAAGCACAAGCTGGTATTTACAAGATTCAATTTTCCCTGTGGAAAACATCTTCCCATTTGTCAGTGGCCAATTAACTAAAATAAAAATAGAAAAAAAAGGCCAAATTTTTAAGAAAGGGATAAAAAATACTTTTTTAATATCGTGAAAAGAAAGTGAAGCAGAGGGAGTTGCAGAAGCCAAAGAGAGCACCGAGGAAGCCATCTGGAATTATAGAAATTGCTCCAACAACGATAGCAATAAGATTTTCAGACAAGTATCTGATTAAATCCAATGAAAGGAAAAAATAAAAAGGTAAAAATGATGAGTCATCTAATAAAACTAGATGAGGGTTAGAAAGGAGGTCGCCTCACCTGAGTATGATTTTGGGAGAGGCAGAAGGGTGATGAGTTCAAAACTCGATTTTTTATTTTTTAAAGCTAAAAAAATAGTGAAAACAGTTAATTGCCGTTGGAATTTTGGGATAGGTTGTGAAGTTAATATTAAAATCTATTAAATAAATAAAAAACTAAAATTAAAAATTTAAATCAATAGATTGAGCTTGCTATAATCGAAGTAAAATTTGAAAAATAAATTGATATACTTTTAAATAATCAATTTCATTAAAAATTTTAACCAAAACAATTTTATCCTTTTATATATATATATATATATATAAATCCTAAACATTTTTTTCTCAGTCTCATTTGCTTCTCTTTTCCCTCACTCTTCTTTTAGCGACGCCTCTATTCTCTCTTTTCCCATCTCATTCTAGTAACCACCGTTTTCCTTTCTAGCACTCTTCTTTCATTCCTCATTTCAACATAGCTTTCTACAAATTGAACAGGTTGTATCCACGTGCCTCCCCCTACCTTCAATCAACATTAGTTTACATAAAAAAATCAAAGGCGTCAACTCCATATATGAACTGCTATTGCACATTTGAAGGTTAAGCAAGTAATTTTGGTAAACCTTTAGCTACGCCCCTTGGCTAAAAGATAGCTACTGAATTTTGTTTATTTCTACTTTAACTACTTGAAGAAAATAAAAAGAAACTGTTTGAATAATATATGCCGGCAATAGTGCTTGTTTTAGTGCTTCCTTTTTTGTTTACAAATTTAGTACTGTCTTAGTGAAAGCTAATGTTGTCTTGATTAGTTAGATTGGAACTTTCAAATTTTTATGTTGAGATATTTTGGGATTTGGTTGTTTGGATTTAATTGGTTGAGACTTAGGTTGGCAATGAGTAGGATCCGAGCGGATTTTTGCTTGCCCCGAATCTGACTCGATTTTATAATTCTAAAATTTGAATCTAACCCGATTCGAAAGTTTTTTATTATTTTTTATACCTGAATCTAACTTGATCCGATATTGTATAAATCGTACCAAACCCGACCTCACCTGAAATTAATAAAATATTATTTTTTAAAATATAAAATATTATTTTTAAATATAAATATATAAATATATAATTATATATAAATAAAAAATTAAAAAAATAATTAAAAAATAATTTTTAATATAATATCGGATCGAGTTGAGTCGGGTTTGCTTAAAACTCGAACCCGACCTGACCCTGATTTTTTTGTTAATAATACCCGACCTGAAACCCAATTTAAAAAAAAAAAAAATTGACTTTATGAGGTTGGGTTGGGTGGGTCGAAACCTACCGGGCTTGGGTTGGGCTGCCAACCCTAGCTGAGACTTCTAAATTTTGTATCTTTAGAAAAAAATTTTATTTCGATGGTGAGTTTTCTATATTGTTACGATATTATTTTAAAAATATCATTATTTATAGAAAAACATCTCATTTTACGTTTTAGTTTAAATTTTAAATCAACTAAATTTTACTATCAAGCATATTAATCAAATTAGTAAATTTTTATTAGATAGTGAGTTTATCAATTGAGTTCGAGCTTGATTCAAATTTTATCTTGAGTCAAGCTTGAGCTTGATAAATAAAATTTAGTTGAGCTCAAATCGAGTTTTGAGCTTCAATTTTTGAGTCAAGCTTGAGCTCGAACATTATAGTATATTGACTTGATTCAGCTCGATTACACTTTTAAGTAAAACTCTCTTTGGTAGTGCCAATAAATCATGTTGAAGTTGAGAAAAGAATAAATTGATGCAAATTATTTTTTATTTAAATGAAAACCAAGCTTTATTTCATCATATTGTAATTTGACTAAGTTATATCCATAAACATTTTCAATTTGTTTCTCAAGATGTCATATCTGTAATACACAGCCTAAATGATAGTTGAGCTAGACTATTACTAAAGCTCATTAAGTTAATTAAGAGATTAATTAGTAAAAGAAAAAGGAGCTGAAGTATTATATAAAAGAAAATCTAGCCATCGTGAAATAGAAAAGAAATAAGAGTTCTTCTTCATCATCTTCCTTAGGGTTATAGAGCAAGAAAAATCAAGTTGGCGATTCAAAATCAGAGGCTACAATCAAGTTAATCCCTTAAAGGTGGGTATATATCCTCTTTTTATTTAAGAAGAAATATCAAGTTAATTGCTATTGTTTGGAGTTGAAGTTTTAAGAGCAAACCCAATAAAAATATAGATTTTTTGTGATTTTTCATTCACACTTTTTGGTTGCTAAAGACTTTCAATTTGAATACATTAGTGTTAATATTTCTAACGTGACACAATAATAGAATTTTGTTATGAATGTTGGCTAATATGGACAAAATGCTAACTTAATAATTGTAAAATATCTGCTAGTTATGTCACAGTATCCAAGATACCAATTATTGATTAATTACCAATTTTAACTATTTGTTTATATCTCTATCGACATCTTTCTTTCCTATTGTCAACTTCTTTCTTGGCTCAATTCTCTCTTTAATCAGCTTCTTTTCTCTTTTTTCCAACTTAACTCCTACCTTCAACTTATAGCCATTTTTCTTTGTTCTAAATTCATCACATTACTTGCCAACTCAGTTATATTTTCTTCACTTCTAGAGTAAATTTACTTCGACTTTTCTAATAACCTTGATAAATATTCTTGTGTGTTACACCCCGTATGTTTTAGTTTTCTTCATTAGATTAGATCTCATTACCAATTTGCCACTGCCTTCAGTGTTCTAGTTCTTTACATTATTTTTGTTGTCATAATGGTTTTAGGAACCGCTAAACAAATTTGAAAATACAAGGAATTGCCACTAATATTTTTTGGTTAAGTGTGATTGACCACTTAAGAAAACTTATGGTTACGCGTAAGAAATGATTAACACCTTCACAGCACCCGTTTTAAAAATGGTATCAATTAATTATGTGTTATTCTTTAATCTTGACATAAAAGTCTTAAAAAGAATTTCCTTAACTTCTTTTTTTCTCTTAATTTTTTTTTTGTTTTTATTTTCATTTTTTTCATAAAATTTCTCTGATACTATTATTTTTTAAATGTTGTTCTATTTTTATTTGAAAAAAATAAATTAGAACCTTTTGCTAGAAGAAAAAAACTCTCAAATGCTCTAATATATTATATCGAAAGAATTTTTTTATCTAGAGATTTATCAGGAATCATTACTTGAATTTTCTTAAAATCTCATCCTCAAAAGTTTGCATCTATTTTTCTATGATTAAGATGCATATGTGATGAAAACAATAATATAATATGATATTCATGCAAAAATAGGCTTATTTTTTTTAATTATGTCTTATTATTTTTCTATCATTTATCTTTAGAAATGGCAATGAGTCGGGTCGGAGCAAGTTTTTGTTCGCATCGAATTAGACCCGACTCTATGTTTATATACCCAAAACCGATTCGAATAAATTTTTTTATTTTTTTATACCTTATCCCAACCTGACCCAATATTATGTAAAATCGTATTCGATCCGATCCGAAATTAATAAAATTTTATTTTTAAATATAAAATATTATTTTTAATGTAAATATAAAATTAAATAAATATAATATATAATTAATTAATTAAAAATTAATTTTATATTTATACTAGGTCGGATCAGGGCGAGTTTGCCTAAAATTTGACTTCGACTTTATTTTACAATTATTCGATCCGAAATTAGATTTTCAAAATTAAAAAATCGATTTTAAGAAGTCGGGTTGGATCGAAACTCGTTGAGTACGAGTTGAGTTACCATGCCTATTTATCTCTTTTTATTTATTTTTAAAGATTCATTTATTAATTTTTTTTTGGTATTCTTTGCATTTTTTTCATGGATAAAAAAAAAAATTTGTTGCATTGAAAATTTTTTATAAATACTCTAATATGCTTATAATATTTAGAAAAAAATTTTTTACATAAAAATTTCATAAGAATTCCTACACAAAATTTTTTTAAAATCTCATTATCAAAAAATTTTTCATTTAAAAAAATAATTTTTTTTATAAAAAAATCAACACCCTTCTCTTTTTAACATATATTTATTTTTAAAAATTAAATATATATAGATAAACAAATAAATAATTTTTAAAATATATATTAAAAATAAATAAATTACCCCGAAAAATTCTATTAGCATTGGTCAACGGTCTAAAAAGCGATTCGAACAGTTTAACTCGATTTAACTAACGGTTTTCAACCGATTTGAAGCGGTTCGGCTGATTCAGCAAACAGTTTGAATGAATCGATCTATGGCTGTTAACGGGAGTTGGGGCATTATGTCTAGCGTGTGGACTCCTGGCCAGTTCAAGTCCACGCATAGGTCAAGTAAAAAAGGTTTTTTTTTCTTTTCTATAAATATTCAACGTTTTTTTAAATTAAAACCATTTCACCCTTTTCTTTAAAAAAACATTCAGAAAAACTCTCTTCAAGCTTTCCTCGCCGGCGAGTAGAAACCCAGAAAGCGACCGATCGCAACAGTCTTACGCCGTTATCGTCATCGGTCACCAGTCATCGAAAATGCCCAAAAAACAACCAAAACTTCTCTCGGCCTCATTTGTACCATCTTGCCCCGTTTCTTTAAAAATGCCCCTTAAAAGCCCAAATCCGCTTTCAAAGTTTGGTCGAATTTCTTTTTATTTTCTAGCTTTTTTATTGGTTTTTTTTGGCGCTATGGTTCCTCGCCCCATGGGATATATTTTTTTTTTTTTTGTGTTTTGGTATTTGGATTTTCAGAAAAGATTTTTTCTTTTTGGTTTTTCTGGTTTTCGATAGAAGCTTCCCTTTTTTTTTTTTTGCAAAGGTTCTCCCTCCATTTTTTTTTAAGACAGGTTTGAAAAGGGGTTTTTGGGATGGAAGTAGGCTTAGGTGTCGTGGTTGGGTTTCGAGTCAGTGGTGGGTGGTTATCGAAAGGTGAACACAGTGGTGCTCTGTTTTTGGCAAAATTCCTGCTAAAAAAATTAACCCCTTTTTACCGAGCCATGATGACTCATTTACAGAGTCAAAGTGGAATTTCAAATCCCATGTTTTTTTGGGACCATGGGACTTTTCATGGTGTCATTGGCAACCAAAAAACGTGTCGAATTTTTTACAGCAAAGGTGGCTTGCTAGGCCTTTTTGTTGTGATCTTGCTTTTAAAACCAGTTTGTGTCAAATCCCATTTTGCTTTGAGCTTCTGTCTTTCTTATTTTGGTTTTGATTGGGTTGCTTAAGAAGAGTGATCAATTCCCATTGCCAGAAAAAGTTTAGGTCATTGGAAAAAGGGAATTGTAGTAAGGGAACTGGAGAAGTGGCAAGGGTAGGGTGGCTCAACAGTGGGTAGAGGAGGCTGGGAGCTGGTGTCGTGCACGACACCATGCTCTGCTCCAGTTTCTGTCTTCTTTTTTTTATTAAATTAATTAAAACTTAACAAATTTGGATTTAAAAAAACTTTGGGCTTAAACACTATGATCACAATAAGACTAAGCCCAATAAAACCTAATTAAAATGTTTAAATGGGCTTTAATTGTGTCAGTCAAAATCCTGAACGAAAATTGAGATTTATCTTGACAAAAATTGGTGTTTTCATTCGCCTTTAGTAGATCCTTGTCCCCAAGGATCTAAGGATGGAAATTGTAGCCTTAATGCAATATAATCTTCCCATGTTGCATTTTTAGACCCTGGATTAGATCACACTATTAGGAATTGAGTCATTACTTGATTGTCATTGATTTTTTTGTTATCAATTACAGTAGCAGGACACTCTAATTGCTGGCCATACTTATTCACCTGTAGAGAATTAATACTAGATACTATCTTTGTTCCAACCCTCTTCATTAACAAATTCTCATGGATTAATTCAGGTTCTAAATACGTTTTAGCTACTTCTAAGGCAGTGTAAGGATGAGATAGGTGTAAGAAGTGAGTGAACGTATATGATCTTAGGTTGATTGATTAGAATCCTGATTTTAAGAAAACATTATGGTTGAGGTCTTTCAAGTGGCAACCCTAACGGTTCTTCAAAGATACCTTGGCAAGAGCATAACGATGGTTTGAGTTGTGGACTTTCTATTTGCTGATAATTCACACACATAATGTACAATTCCCCTAATATCTCAGAATCTTTATCAGCTACTTTTTTCAATTGCTCTCCAATATGAACTTCAACTTATTATCACTCCCTCTTCCCTTTAGTGTCACTTTTTGTCCTCATTTCTGAAGCTTACTAACTTTCATTAAAATCAACTTCAATGGATTGTACTTCTTCAACCAATCCACCCCAAGCACCACGTCATTATCTTTTATGAGAAGAACTTTAAGATCATAAGTAAACTAAAGTCCTTGTAGAAGCGATTCTATTTGTTTATATTTTGTTGTGCTATAAATTTTCTCTCCATTAGTTACAGTGATGGCTAATGGAGTGGTATGCAGTAACTTTATTCCATCCTTGGCCCATTTAGGAGTGATAAAGTTGTGTGTAATTCCACTATCAATTAGCACATTGGTTGGTTTGCCTTTGATACTGCCTTGAATTCTTAGTGTACCATGTCCCATACTTCTAGTCAAGACATCGATAGAGATCTCCAAATCCTCAAAAACTTCTTGCTTACCACCAAACAGTCCCACTTCCTATTCTTCGAAATCCCTTGTTTGCTCTTACACAGTAAGGGAGTTCAACTGTTTATTCTTGCAAACATGTCCAGGGATGAATATATCTCTACATTAGTAACATAAATTATGAGCTTTCTTTTGTTCCATAAGTTTCTATTAGTATTTGGCAAGGTGTTTGGTGAAGGCTTGAGTGTTTGGTTTGAAGGAATATAAGAAAGTTTTGTATAGGCATTAGTGTTTTGGGTGATCTTTTGGAACTGTTTATGCCTTTTGTTCTCAAATTCAGTGGTCAATTCTGTTGGAAATATTGACTCAAATCCCATAAGAGATTTGTTTGAGATTTGTTAAAAATTTATTTGAGATTTGTCAGATATTGCTTGATGAACAAGAAGACTTGCAAAAGAAGAATTCTAAGAGAAAGAGGATTCTTAATAAGTAAGTTTGACTTGTAAAAGAAGAATTCTAAAAGGAAAGGGATTCTTAATAGGCAAGTTTGACTTATAGGAGAAGAATTCTAAGAAGAGAGGGATTCTTAATGGGCAAGTTTGTATGGTTATAAATAGGTGAAGTCTCTACAAGGTTAGGTATGAGAAAAAGATGTAATAGAGTTGTAAGGTTTTATGGGATAGACACCCCATAAGAGTATTGAGGCTCTACGTCTTATGGGTGTGTATGTTTGTTTGTGACTGGACTAGAGGAGACTGAGAGGGTCCACATAGGTATGATGTATGGGAGCGTATGGGTATGTGTTTGGTTATGTTGAAAGGTATATAAAGGTTTGGGTTTGTGTTTGTTTGGGTTTAGAATACTCCATAGGACTAGAGGAGATTGAGAGTGTCTTATGAGTATTGATTGTTGAGTGAGGTTGATGATTTGATGTATGTTTGTAATTCTCTACAACTAGTGGATCTTGTTTTTCATCCGTGAATGTAGGTCAGTTGGATCGAACCACGTTAAATTGTTGTCTCTTGTGTGTTTGATTTATTGTTTGATTTTGCTTTCGCTGTGTGTGATTGGATTGGAGGCTTTTAATCCAACAAATGGTATCAGAGCTATGGTGATCCTCAACAAGTGGTATCAGAGCTGAAGGTTCGAAACGTGAGAAGAGTTAAAGATTCAAGAAGTGAAAAGAGCCGATGGTTCGAGACATGAGAATAGTTGACAGTTCGAGATATGAGAAAAGCTTGGTTTGAGATATGGAAAAAAGTAAGCTTAGAGGAGCTCGATTCAAGAGAAGAGTTCGAGTTTAAGATTGAGGATTGGCTTGTATGAAGCGTGAAGACACAAGAGAAGATGATTGTGAGACTTTCATTGCACGTGGAGCCAAGCATGTCTAGCATGAAGACAGATGATTAATGAAATTTGAGTCAAGGTGGAGATTATTGGGAATATTGACTCAAATCCCATAAGAGATTTGTTTAGGATTTGTTTGAGATTTGTTTGAGATTTACCAGATATTGCTTGATGAACAAGAAGACTTGTAAAAGAAGAATTCTAAGAGAAAGAGGATTCTTAATAGGTAAGTTTGACTTGCAAAAGAAGAATTCTAAAAGGAAAGAGATTCTTAATAGGCAAGTTTGACTTATAGGAGAAGAATTCTAAGAGGAGAGGGATTCTTAATAGGCAAGTTTGTATGGTTATAAATATGTGAAGTCTCTACAGGGTTAGGTATGAGAAAAAGATGTAAGAGAGTTGTGGTTTTATGGATTATAGAAGTAATAGGCTCTACCAATGGGTTGTATGTTTTTTGTGAGTGGACTAGAGGAACTGAGAGGTCACATAGGTATGATGTATAGAGCATAGGGTAGGTTTGGTTATTTGAAAGTGTGACAAGGTTTGTGTTTGTGTTTGTATTTGTTTGGGTTTAGATACTCCATAGGCTAGAGGAGATGAGAGTGTCTTTGAGTATTGATTGTTGAGTTGAGTTATTTTGATGTATGTTTGTAATTCTCACAACTAGTGGATCTTGTTTCTCATCTGGATGTAGGTCAGTTGGATCAATCACGTAAATTTTTCTTTTGTGTTTTTAATTTATGTTTTTTGCTTCCGCTGTGTGTGATTGGATTGGAGGCTTTTAGCCTAACAAATTCATGAAGCTTGGCTTGCCTATAAGTTGCAGCTAGGGTCATTGGCTCATTGGCTTTGAGTTTGACTATGTTTGATTTCATCCTTCAGGCCACATATAAAGCTGGAGATGAAATAACTCTCCAATAGACGGGGGTTAAACTACAACATATAAGGCTTGATTTCTTAAAACTTCTCTTAATACTCCTTCACACTGGATATTTAGTCCAACTCGTTGAATTCTTCAACTACATTTGAGCATGTTTGATAAGAAAATCTCTGCCGAAAATCATTAGTGAAATCATGCTAATTAACATTTAGTCCTTTGCATAATATATCCATCGAAGCAAATTTCAACTTTTCGCACTAAATACATAGTTACTAATTTCAGCTTCTGATGGTTAGCAACAAAAAACAAGGCGAAGTATTTCTCAACATTTTTCGATCAACCCTTAGGATTACTACTATCAAACAAGGGCAACTCAAAATTTGGTTTTAGTGTGAATGCATTCATAAAATGATTTAAGTTAGAATTTTTGAGAGATAAGGCGGCTAGCATCATAAGGATACCAGATTCATCATTTTATAAGTAAATTTCCCTTGCTAATCTATAATAGTAACTTTTACAGGTTGTTTACCTTTCATTTCAGGCTGAGACACTGGCTTTTGGAAACTGCTGTTTCAATGTCAACTCTTATTGAGTCAACCTGACCTTGTGCTTCTTCTTTCTCCAACAGCTTGTGGATCCTACTAACATTTTTTTTTATTCTCAGCAAACCTTACCTCAATATCCCTTTTCTATTCCTCCCATCATTTTGGAATGGTGTTTTCAGAAGCTTTCAAGGCCCCTACTGGAGTTTGCAAGCTCAGAATGGGCGCTATCAGATACCTTCAAGGCCTTCATCTGATTTTGCAAGTTCTAAACTCGCTCTTGTAGCGTGTTGAATCTTGTCTCTTCAGCCATAGCTTTTTGGGCTTTTTGTTTTCCTAGCTTGGTGGTTGAATCTTTCTAGGCTTTGATACTAATTTGTCACAAACTAGTTGTGATGTGATGAACCGAATTAAGAAGAAGAAAAAGAAGATAGAAGAAGCTAGAACAAATAGATCAGAGAATTAGAGAGAATCAGAGAGAATAGAAAGCAGAGAATTTTTATGATATTTCATTCATACTTTTATAGTTTTTACAGACTCTGTATTTAAGCACATTATTGCTAATATTTCCAACGTAACACAATAACAGAATTCTATTATGAATGTTGGCTAATATGAACAAAATGCTGACTCAATAATTGCAAAATATCTACAATTGACGTCACAAGATTCAAGGTAACAGCTAATGATTAGCCGCCAATTTTAGCTCCTTGCTCATATCTTCATCGATAGCTTCCCTTCTTGTTGTGAACTTCTTTCTTGACTCAATTCTCTCTTCATTCAACTTCCTATCTCTCTTTTCCAGCTATAGCCATTCTTCCCTGCTGCTAAATTCATCACATTACCTGCAAGCTCAACTATCCTTTCCTCATTTCTCGGGTAAACTAACTCCAACTTCTCCCTATACTAACCTTGGTAAATATTCATGTGTGCTGCATCCCCATGTGTCTTACCTTCATTGGATTAGATCCCATTACCAATTTGCCATAGACTTCAGTATTCCAGTTCATTACACGCACATCCTTATACGGTATTTAAAGTAAAACAGTACCCTTTCATTCTTAAAATATTTCATGCTGATAAAGTGAAAAGCACACACTTTGACATGAGTTAACCTTTCTTTTCTAGAGAAGAAACTCACAAAGATTTATCCAGGCATGATTCACGAATCAATTGGGAGATGATGCTACTGATAGATGTATTTAGCAAGACAGAAACAGAAAGAGAAAGAAAACACACAAAAATCCTACAAACATACGTTCATGAAACTAGTTACACTAACTAATCAAAGATATTTAGTCAAAACTTGAAAAAGCTATAACTCTTAAGGGCTACGTAATTCTAATCAAATGTCTTCCATCAGTTAATGCACCACAACACAAAATCATGGTCTGATCGAACAGCTAGTACATTAACTTGTAAAGCAATGTCATAAAAGCCGCAAATAACTAATCTGAAAGACAACTCAAATGATCCTTACAAGTAAAACAGACATTAACATTGAATCAAAAAGATGAAACCAAGCATCAAGCAATCAACACAAAGAAAATGCCCAAAATTAACCACTCATCTCTCTCGATTCTCTCACCAAAAAAAAGAAAAGTGATGATGCACTCTAGTAACACGTAATTCCAATTACAACTTTTAGAACACAATAACCACTGTCGAGATGTCATTTCGTTAAAAGGATATATATGGTCTGCCTGTGATATTCTTATTTTAACCAAGCAAAGAAACAAGCACCCAAGATTATACTTAATCATCATAGAATAGACCATGATTTCGAATAATAATTTAAACAAAACTTGAATTCAAGGAGTCATACGAGTTCCTTACACAAACTGGAGTACTTAAATACAAAGCCATAAGCGCTGCTTCATCATCGTCTTTAAGAGCAAAGAAATAACCTAAAATTAATTCAGAAACCAGCTATGACCGACAAGACACTAACCAAGAGCCTCAGAATCCGAGCTTCGTACGACGCCAGTGCCTGCGCTTTGCATTATACCTGAAGGAAAAAAAAACATTAAAATGAGTTAAGAAGTAAAAAGAACAATTAGAGGGAGATCAAAAACTAAAAGAAGAAAAGAAACCCGATGGTATTGTCAGTGCGCATCCGAATCCAGTGAGGGATGGGCCTATTTTGCCTCGTCTTCTTGGCGAGCTTCTTCTTTATTATCGAAGTCTTGTGTGACGGCTGCTCAGTTTCACTTATCAAATCAACATCAGATTACTTCAGCGAATTAATTTCAACACAATCAAATAAAGTATTCAGGGCGTAGACAAGCACATAAACTTTTCGGCAGAGAAAGACAACGAGAAGAAAGTACCATTGTGTGGTTTTTCGATCGAATGCTTTGTTATGTTTTTTTTTTTTTTTTTCCTTACAGAAAAACCCTGTTTAGAAGAAAAGAAAACCCTAGGGGACAGGAGATGGAATGGGTCCTTTGTAGGAATCGGAATAGACCGGATTTGACTGCCATTTGGGTCGGTTGAATTTGGGCCTCCACTTGTCCCAAAAACGACTGCTAGTAATATATTTCCTTCCTCAGTTAATCTTTTTAAAATAATAAATCTAATAAAAGAATTTTTAAACCAAATACTATATTTACGAGCTCTTAAATATAGAAAGATATTATATTCTGGCCAAAAATAAGAGACAGATCTAATATTATACCCTACCTTTATTCCTTTTTTTTTTTTTTTATTTCATTTGGCCTTTAAGAACTCTTAAAAAATAATTTAAAAGAAAAAAATAAACATTTTCCCAATTCATGCATTTTGCTCCTTGCTTTTTTTTTTTTTTTAATTTAAATTATTAGAAGAGTTAAACTAGCAATTGGGCACACGCGAATGTATGTGATAAATAATTTTTTTAATATGTATTTTATAAAATATCATATGATTAATTAATGCAGTATATTTTACACTAACAAAATTTAATTCATAATTTTACAAGTTTAGAACATGTCATTCACTAGGCCACTACTTTGTTAATTAAAGTATAGATATATACATGATTAATGATTGATTTAAAAGCAGTTTTGCATATTAAATTTAAGTTATAATATTTAATCTTAAATTGAGAAACTATCCAAACATTTAGTCCAAATTCAGCATTTAACCAAACCAAATTGTCTCTTCTACTAATAACTTAAATACAATGTACAAAATTACTCTTAAATCAATAATTAATCATGTATCAAAATTTAATTAATAAGTTTGATAATTTTTTTGATAAAATTGCAATAATTTTTGTAATAGTTATGATAATTTTTTTATCAATAATTTTTATAGTAAGTTTGATAACTTTTGAAAATCTTTATAATAAGTTTGATAACTTGGTTACTTTTAAAATTTAATAATTTTTATTATAATTTTGATAATATTTGATATAATTTTAATAATATTTTATATAATTATGATAATTTTATAATAATTATTTTATCTTTACCAGTTGTTGACTTTCTCCACTCAATATGTAGGTCATTTTGAAAAAAAAAAAAAGTGTTTTAAAAGTAAAGAGGAAGCAACCTAATTAAAATGTGGTAGTTTTTTAAAATAGAGAAGCAAGTACTTTTTTTTTTTTTGAAAATTTTTTTTTTATAAAAATAATAAAATAATATATATTTAATTTTATAAAAATTTAATAAGTGAATTAATATCAATCAATTGTGACACGAATTGCCCGATTCCATGTCATGCAACAGGCCCTAGAAAATCTGAAGAAAGAAAGAGATCCTGATATAAATGGACCTCACATTGGACTCGAATGATTCATTTTGGTGAGTAACATTTAAGCCCACAACCGTGAGACAAAAATCATTGCAATCCGCAATTGATTAAATGAAAATTCTGCTTTGGAAGAATAAATTTATTCTTTTAATAATATTTCAAATGTTGATTTACATGTAATAATAGTGATTATGACTATGTTTTATTGAACTCATGAGGAATATATTTTGTTTGATATTGTCAACTTGCCCAATGTGGCGTAGAAGATAGAAAAATTGCAACAAAACAAATGTTTGGAGGAAAACGCCACAAAATCTTCCTAAATTTTAAAAATATTCTGAGCACATGGACTGAACAATTCTCTCTCTCTCTCTCTCTCTCCTCTAATTGTATGCAAGTAGCAGGGATGAATAACATACATGCAAGATGTCAAAGTCTCAACGAATCAACTTTTAATTACTACAATGCATAAACAATATTCCAACCACATGATTGTCTTCATTATTTATCCCTTCAATCTAACACTGTTGCACGTTTTACTAAACATGTGCTTGGGCTTGACCAACTAATTTTTTGGAGCCATTTAAGAGTTATACGGGCGCACATACATACATATATATATATATATATGATTTTTTTCTCTTAATTTAATAGTTGAAAGTCATGTAAGCATAGGTTTGAGCTCGTCATCCTCCATTCCCCCTTGTAAGAGCACTAATCTTCCTTTGCAATCATAATATATATATATATATATATATATATATTCATCATCATAGGCTTTGAAGTACAACCTCTCTTATTATTTTTTTAGACCAGTCACTACATGATTAAAATTTCATTTCTCCACTTAATTTTTATCTTCCTCTCTATTCTTATCAAGTTAAGTTTAATTTATTATTTAGGTTGAATTTGGCATTAGCTTGCCATAAAAAAGATTGCAATTTGCTATATTATAGTGGTCATATTAACGGTATCCTGATTGCCAAATCATTAAAAATCACACATAATTTTATGACAGTCATATATTCAGTTAATCATATTATTATTTACGAAGTATAATAATAAAAAAAAAGAATCAAATCAAATTTTACAACATTCTCAACTTTATACTCTCTTTGCTCTCTTCGGCTATCTTCTATTTCTTTTTTCTTCTCATTCTAACCCTCTCTAAAAATCTTATCTTGTGGGTGATCGGTCATATTCTGTGTAATTTCATTAAAAATTGAACCATATTTTAGAAGTTGAATGATACGATGGTGAATATAAAAATGGTAGATATAAGACAAAATATGACGTGCACATGGAGATTTGGGGATATCTTTTCATGTCAATATTAATGATGAGGTAAGTGGTCTGCGTTCCAAAAAATTCAAAGGACCAGCCTGGGCAAATCCCTTAAACTGCGGCCTACTTGAAGAACACAACATAATTCTATCACATCACCTTCCAAAAAATCCCCCCCACCCCTTTTCTTGCTAACTGGTGAAACCGCGTATAGGCTAATAAAGTCTGTTTTAAGTAGTCAATTTAATTCCTTCCCTTGACTAATCCCATAAAACACCCAAAGAAAATGAAAAGCAGAAGAGAAAGACAAACCCGAAACTTCTTTCAATTCTACATTCATAGTTGTGAGAATATTTAGCTAAATGTCCTCCATAATATATAATGTCTGTGTCTTTTACTCCGTTAGTTTTAAAAAATTACATACTTGTATGATTATATTTGAAATTAAAATTAAATAAAATTTAATTAAATTAATTCATGTAATTATTTTTTACAAGATTTTATATTTGTAATTAAAAAAAAATTATACTCTCCCTTGCTAATTTGGCAAAACTCTTTGGGCTAGGGCTGTTCAAACCGCTAACTGCTTCCAATTAAACAAACTTTTGTCTTTTTTGACCAAGAAAACAAGCAGAAAGAAAATCTGTTCATGTGTGTATGCAAGCTAAGAGGCAGCAAATAATTGATGTTTGTAATTGATGGAGATATTATTGCATGGTCTTAACCCAACATTTTCTCAAACTTTTTCTCATCCGTTCAATTGACTGTGTGTGCATGTGACGTTGTAGGATTTGAAGGGAAAGAACATGTGAAAATAGACAGGCCCGCGTGTACTCAGCTCGCCACTCTGACCCCCACCTTGGCTAAGAAAGGACAGCTATATCCATCATCAATTCATCACCCACGTTAAGTTTTTGCGTGCCATATCATATCAAACGCGTTTGCAACGTGGGTCCATAACCATTTGATGCAATGTGGGTCCATCGCACTTTAGCTCATTTCATTTTTTGACGTCTCTTAATATAGAATTATCAGTCCAAGGTTAGCTGTAATCCAAGAGTGAGACCAACTTTTTTAATGTTTTTCTATCCAATGACTGATGTGTTCTTTTCTTGTTTCCATTCGTGAAAGAACTTGCAAACGGTATTATATGCCTTTGAAAATTTTGGAGTGCTACTGATCTACTGATACTAGCAATAGGGTTAATTATTAATACGATATTCTTTTCTTTTATTTTAAATATTTTATAAAAAATTTATAATCAATAAAAAATTAAAAAAATCATATATTTTAATCAAATAACTAATAAAAATATAACATTCATAATATAACATTAATAAATTTATTTTTTTGTAAATTTATTTATTTAGTTGTATCATATAAGTTTTTAAAAATTTTGAAAATAAATGAATATTGAAACTAAAAGAAAATTGCAAGCGGTGCTTGAAATTTAGAGGGGAGTAATTTTTTTAGAATCTTATAAAAAGTGTTGGAAAGATTTTGGAAGTATTCCGATGAAAAATATTTTATTTACTTTTTAATAAAATATTTAATAAAAAATAAAAGTTGATAAAATAACAAATAAAAATAAATAAAATTTTTCTATAAAATTTTAAATTAATCCCACGATAGAGTTTTTTCAAGTAATATAAGTTTCTTGAATACTCTTAAAATAATAATTTTTGTCCTATCAAAATATTGAAAAAAATATAAAAATTTTATAAATTTTCAAATAATAAAATTTAATTAAGAATAAAAGACTATTTAGATATATTTTTTAAAAATAATATTAAATTAATTGATATTATTTTTGATGAACGGTGTGAGGATGTTAATATATTATCTACAAATAGATTAATCAATAATATACAATAAAAGTAGTCCTCAAGTGGGACAACTTTCAATTAAAGGGCAACCCAAATCACTTTTTATTTGTTAAATAATTATTGGTTGATAAAAATTTTAATAAATTATTGGGTTTGACAGATAATAATGTATTAAGTTTAATTGGATTTAAAAAAAAGGAATGTGAGAGTTTGGTCCATGTTATATTGAATTAGGTATGCGTTTTATAATAAGTTTCGAGTTTTTATAATTTATTAGTTACAATAAAATAAAATAGACTAATAAAAATATAATAATAATTATAAATATAAAAAGAAATTAAAAAACATAAAAAGTTACTTTCCTTTTTTTTTTTCATTTTTTGTTTTAAATACTTTATAAAAAAGTTTATAATCTATAAAAAATTAAAAAATTATATATTTTAATCAAATAACTAATAAAAATACAATATTCATAATACAACATGCATAAATAACAAAAATATAATCGTAGATATGAAATACTATATATATTTTATTTTAATTTATTATAATATTTTATATATTTATTTTTTTATTATTT